TTTTTAGGTGAGGCGTTGCTGGTTCTAGGAGTCTTTGTCTTTCTAATCCCATCAGCTCCAAGATTCCTGTCTCCAGTCTTTCTGAAAGGATTATCAAATCTGCCTTTCTACAGAGCTGGTTTCTGCTTGGGGCACAGAGATTTGGGTGGTGGTGGTTTCTGCCTAAGATTTTCTCTATTATTCCTTTGGGGAAATATATATTCTGCCTTTTTAATATTCCCCAAAATATTTCTTTCTCTAGGGTGTGTATATGTGTGTGTGTGAGACTTCCTACAACCTGATTTTGTAATTCTTTAGAAAAAAATATTAAACTCTCAATGTTCTCCAGGCCTGTTGATTTTTTTTTTGAAAGGGAGAGGAAATGTGATTTTCCAATTAACCATTAACCACTAACCATTTCTCAATGTTTCAATCACATATATTTGAAATCCAAACCTTTACATGTGGAATGATGGTATTTTTTCCTTACCCTAAGCATTTTTTTTTGCCATTGTTAAGAGTACAAAAACCATCTTTGCTCTGAAAACATTAAATTCTAAGTAGTTGGCATATAATTCAGTACAATATATTTATCTTTCCAAAACAGAGTTTTCTCAATAATTCCGTCAATGTGTTATATGGAACACAGAATAACAGAGTTGGAAGGGATCTTGGAGGTCTTCTAGTCCAAACCCCTGGTCAAACGGTAGACCTATACCAGGGGTAGGCAACCTTGGCTCTTTTATGATTCGTGGACTTCAACTCCCAGAATTCCTGAGCCAGCCATGCTGAGGGGAAAGGGAGAGGTTTCCAAGCTGAGCCATGCTGGCTCAGGAATTCTGGGAGTTGAAATCCACCAGTCATAAAAGAGTCAAGATTGCCTATCCCTGACCTATACTATTCCAGAAAAATGGATGTCCATGCTCTATTTAAAAACCTCCAGTGATGGAGCACCCACAACTTCTGGAGGCAAGCCATTTCACTGATCAATTGTTCTCACTGCCAGGAAATTTCTCTTTTATTCTAATTTTTTATAGATGTTTCTTCAAATAAGCTTCCATCTGTTACTTCCTGTTCTACCCTCAGGTGCTTTTGAGAATAGATTGACCCCCCCCCCTTCTCTGTGGCAGCGCCTCAGACTGCTAACATGTCACCCCTGTCCTTCATTATTAAAACAAAAAGTGTAAGGGAAAGGTGTTTGACTTACAAATACCTTCAAATTTCTTGCAAACTCCAAAACAAATAAACAGTCACCCCCGTAAAAACATTCCAGATAGTGTCCAATAGATATGACAAACTTCTATTCTGATGAATTAATTTCAGTTTTAAATCACGGGATAAAAACTTAAGCGTTCTTGAAAACTTGAGTCCATGGGTTGAAAACAATCAGTTTCCAATTCTTGAATATACGCCTTTTGTGTATTTGTTGTACTTTGTATTAAATGTTGATGGTCAGAGGATACTAGCTGATGGTGTCTCAGGGCTGAGGTAGCTAACCTCTGGATTAGAGCAAGGCTTTTCAACCAGTGGTACGGGTACCACCTGTGGTACACTGGCACCTGGCAGGTGGTACGCGACCATCCTAGAAAAGTGGTAGTGGGGGAGGGGAATGAGCTGAACCGGTGGCCTGAGCGAGAGATGGCTGGAGCGAGAGATGGCTGGAGCTGCAGGGCTGTCAGGGCTCAGTGGAAGCGCCAGGATCAGTGCCGCTTTCCAGCTGATCGGCGCTTCTTCGGGGCTGTCAGGGCTCAGTGGAAGCATCAGGATCAGCGCCAGGCTCCAGCTGGAGCTCAGCGCTGATCCTGGTGCTTCTGCTGAACCCAGAAGAAGCGCCTATCAGCTGGAATGTTGCAGCATCTCCAGGGTCTTGTGATTTACATTCAGATGCTTGGCAACTGATTCATATTTATGATGGTCACAATGTCCCAGGGTCATGTGAAGTGACCAAAACCTGCTGCAACCACCCAGCAGACGGGGGGAATAAAAACCTAACACCCCCCCACTCCACCCCCACTGCCAATCCTCAACAGAAATGCTCACAACAATGAAAACCTTGGACAGGAGGAAGAGCGCGGCCGGGTGGGCCGGCAAGTGTCTTGCTTGGCTATGGCTTGGGGGGCACTTTTTTCAGTGCTATTGTATCTTCGAACAGTCACTAAGCAAACTGTTGTAAGTTGAGGACTACCTGTACTTCAGACAAATGGTTGTGTGCAGTCTCTTTTAAAAAATGACTGCCATTATCACAAAAACTTTCTGCACAGCACACAGGATTTGGAAAGGAATGGAAGGGACAGCTGGAGCTTACAAGCATGAGCAGGGGTGGCTGGCATGACAGCAAACGCTGGAACAGATCGGGGGGGGGGAAGGAAAATATCTTGGAAGTATAACTTGGAATGCTCCAACAATGGAAGTTTTTAAGAAGAGACTGGACAGCCATTTGTCTCAAATGGTGTAGGGTTTCCTGCCTGAGCAGGGGGTCGGACTAGATGACCTCCAAGGTCCCTTCCAACATCATTATTATTATTATTATTATTATTATGGATCATTGCAGTCAGCCAGATGTTCAGACTGGATTTTGCATTTTGTCTACCTATCGAGTCCTTACCAAGGACCTGAGATAGGCAGATGTGGATGTTTGATGCTATTACAGATATCGCCCCGGGATGGAAGCAGTTCCTAGTAAGGCTGCCTTTTGCAATTGACTGATGGCGAATTTGTCAATGCCAATGGTGTCCAAGTGGTGCTTCAGTTGTTTTGGGATTGCACCCAAGGCGCCTATGACTATTGGTACTACCCTTGCTTGCCTTTGCCACAGTCTTTCTATTTCTATTTGTAGGTCTTTGTATTTTGTTATCTTCTCCAGTTCTTTCTCGTCTATTCTGCTGTCTCCAGGCACTGCCACGTCCACTATTCAGACTTTTTTGTCTTTCTTATCGACAATTGTTAAGTCCGGGTTGTTATGTTGCAGGTGCTTGTCTGTTTGAATTCTGAAGTCGCAGAGCAGTTTAATTTTATCATTTTCTATGACTTTCTCTATTTTATGATCCCACCAGTTCTTGCTTACAGGCAAATGATATTTCTTGCAGATCTTCCAATGCACCATTGTTGCTACTTTGTCATGCCGCTGCTTGTAGTCAGTTTGTGCGATGATGATGATGATCTTCTTCTTCTTCTTCTTCTTCTTCTTCTTCTTCTTCTTCTTCTTCTTCTTCTTCTTCTTCTCCTCCTCCCTCCATCATCATCATCAATTATTCCACTACTACTACTTCTACTTCTTCTTCTTCTTCTCCTCCTCCTCCTCCTCCTCCCTCCATCATCATCAATTATTCCACTTCTTCTTCTTCTTCTTCTTCTTCTTCTTCTTCTTCTTCTTCTTCTTCTTCTTCTTCTTCTTCTTCTTCTTCTTCTTCTTCTTCTTCTTCTTCTTCTTCTTCTTCTCCTTCTCCTCCTCCTCCTCCCTCCATCATCATCATCATCATCAATTATTCCAGTTAAAGTGGGCAGGCTTGGGAGATGGAAGCCCCTCGTGCTTAAAAGTCTTATCAGAACTCAAGAAAGCAGGATCCGAGTTGCGCCCTGAGCCGCAGCTCGAATGGCAGACAGATAACCGGGTCATCCCTCTCGGTCACTTTCTCCCACTCGGGGGCCAGTATTGTTAAAAAGCTTTAAAATTCCCTCGAGAAATTAGGAAAACCTACAAAAAGCATCTCCTGCTGCTAATTCTTTGGCCAAGGGGAGAAAGACAGACACAGCAGCAGCAGCTGCCGTCTCTCCTTCGCGGTTTGTTTCTTTCTCTCCCTCAGCAACGCTCTCTTTTCAGGACCAAGAAACCCAGAAGCACGCGCTTCAGTCGGGCCCGAAAGCGAATCCCAACGGCCTCTCTAAACCTCTCTCTTCGACGTACCTCTACGTACCTCTGGAACAACCGCAAGGGCTGTTCTGGCGGAAGCCGGAAGCTGCGCAGCGGAAGCGAGCGTCAGCTGGAGGGGGCGGGGCCGTGTGGAGAGAGAGAGAGGGAGGAGGGAGGGAGGCGATCGCTCCAGCGCGGGGGGCCATTTTCGTGCTTGCGCGGCGGCGGCGGCGGTAGCCTCGTTAGCCAAGCGGAGGTCGAGCCGAGCCCTTTCCGGGGAGGCGGCACAAAAAGCGCCGCCCCCTCCTCGCTTTCCTCCTCTGCGCCGGGCGGGGGAGCGGCTGGCCCTGGCTACCCCCGAGGCTCGCCCGTCGCCTTAGCAGCTGAGCCGCTGCTGCTGCCGCCGCTTTTGCCCGGTCCTCCACAGGAGGGAGTCGCGCCTGCCCTGGAGCCCGCCGAGCAACCGCCGCCGCCGCCGCCGCCTCTTCCCTCCCTCTCGCTTTCTCTCGCTTGTTCCGCCGCGCGGCCCGGCCTTGCGGCTGCCCCCTCCTCCTCTCCTCCTCCTCCCCCTTCAAGTGCGTGTGCACGCGTGTCAGTGTGAATGCGTGACTCTTCCTTCGCTGGGCTCTTTCCTTCCGGGAGGTGCTGCCGCTGCTGCCGCTGCCGCCGGAGACTTGGCGCCAAGTTCCCCAGAGAGTTTTCCCGGGAAGAGGCGGAGAGGCGGCTGGGGAACCGAACTAGAGCCAATTCTTCCCCTGGGCTCTTGGCGTGTTTTCGGGGCGGAGGAGGAGGGTCGGCATGGGCCTCTAGGCTTCCTGGGCGAACAATGGCCTCCGACAGGGGCGCCGGGAACTCCCCGCGCTTGGGCGCTTTTCCCGGGGCTCCTTCGGGCGCGCCTCTCCGCCCTGGCGGACCCGGCGCCGGCTCGTGGTAGCTCTCGGCACCCCGCGAGTTGAGGGGCGCCCGGGGCTTTCCTGCCTCCGAGGGCGCGACTGGCCCGCCGTCTCCGTCTTTTCGTGCGGCTTCTGTGTCTTGTGTGTCGGCGGCCGGGGGAAGGGAGCGCCCGGGGCTGGAAGCGGCGGCGGTACAGGTTGTCCCGAAGCCGCCTGGCTGCGCCTGCCGGGGAAACCCCGCGGTCCGTCTTTTCCCTCCGCCTGCTCCTCTGGATGTGATGGAACTCATGTTTGCCGAGTGGGAAGACGGGGAGAGGTTTTCCTTCGAAGACTCGGACCGCTTCGAGGAAGACTCGCTTTGCTCCTTCATTTCCGAGGCGGAGAGCCTGTGCCAGAACTGGAGAGGATGGCGGAAACAGTCAGCCGGACCCAACTCGCCCACTGTCAAAATGAAAGGTGAAGAGGAGGAGGAGGAGGAGGCTTGGCCTGGGCTGGGCTGGCCTGGCCGGAGGAGATAGGTTGCGCTGGCTAAAAGCGCTGCTTAATCCGCGTAGTAGGCTGGTCGGAAGGAAGGAGGAAAGTTTCTATGAGTAAAACCGAGCCTAAGTTGACGAGTGCGGCTGCCTGGCTGGTGTGTGGATAGATTCCCACTTAACACAGGCAGGGTAGCTAGAATTAGGTAAAATGTGAGGTGGTCAGGTGCTCCTAAGCCAGTGGTTCTCAACCTTTTAAATGCCGCGACCCCCAACCGGTCGTAAGTCGAGGACTAAACCGGTCGTAAGTCAAGGACTACCCAACCAGTCGTAAGTTGAGGACTACCCAACCGGTCGTAAGTCGAGGACTTTCCCTGCCCGGGAGTGCCGTGCATGCGTGGTTCCGCCCCCTGCGCCGGCCGAGGCGTAGCTGGCAAGCAGCAGAGACGGAGCAGGCCGACCACCAGCTGGCCCAGCCCAAGGGGGAGGTAAGGCACCCGCCGGAAAAGGGGAAAAATGGCGGACAGCCTTGCTTGGCGACCCCCGTGAAATGGTCGATCGACCCCAAATGGGGTCCCGACCCATAAGTTGAGAACCGCTGTCCTAAGCGTCCCTACTCAGCTTTCGTCTTTTCCCAGGTTGCTGGAGGTTGTAGCGTTTTTTACTTGCCTGGACTAGCATATATCTCTGAGGCTTTAACCCATGCAAAGTCGTCCTTAATGAGAGTTCTGGATTCCTTGGTTTGGCTTTAGTTTTCCTCGGGGGAGTTTAATTAGTATGTTATTGCCCGGATCAAATGATTACAGACAGGCATCTTGTAAACTTGGTGTATAATACATCATGGCTGAAGTAGTTGAATCATTGATCAGGACCTAAAGGTGAAGAAATGTCCTTGGGATGTTGCAGCTTAAGAGTACCCCACGGTCCAATACACAATCTGTTCATCTTACCATACATTTTCTCTGGGTTCAGAATCCGAGCAGGGCTGGGCCTCCAGGAATACTATTGTTATAGATTTACATTGGAAAGTTGGAGAAACATCCTGGAAGAAGGAAATAAACTATTTTTGCATTGTTGCCCTAGAAAAAATACATGGATGTGTTTTTGACATCAGCTGGGAATAACCTTGGCTTTATTTTATAGCCAGCTGTTCCGTGCTTCTGCTGTTGAAATTAAATGAGTGACCTGAAGGTGCTCTAAACATAAGTGTGGTATCGATAGTAAAAGTACTCTTGGGTTGAAAGAAAAGTGCATCTGCCACAGTATAAGAATTTGTATTCCCTTTGATCTGTGAACACAACTGTGAAGTATTTCTTTTGGATAACAGGGTTTGGGAAAACATTCACATTACTTTTGTATCCAGGTTCATTTATTTTAGACTTTTAGATTAGTAAACATACAGTCTCATGCAATGTAGTCATAACCTGCCTTTGCTCCCTGACATGCACATGACACGGATAATAATTTTGTGCTTTCAAGTCAGTCTTGACTCCTAGCAACTGCCTGAACAAGTTCCTGCAGTTTTCTTGGCAACATACTCCAAGGTTGTGTGTGCCTTCCTAGGGCTGAGAGAGACGGGCTGGCCCAAAATCACCCACAGAGCTTCATACCTAAACTAAGATTGGAACTACAGCCAAACCTGTTTTTAGATTGGTGCCTTTAATCATTGCACCAAAGAAGTGGTAGAAATATTAGAAATATTTTTGTAGTGTTACAAGTATGTTTATATATATGTGTGTGTGTATTTGTGAACACACACACACGTAGATAGCATAAACATTTTATTAGTGGTAAGTGAAATTGTGACACTAATATTTTTGAATCTGTGGTCTATAGGTCATCAATACTGATAGCTGAGTAAGATGAAAGATCAGCTGTATGAGATTTATAGCTGTATGATTTAATCCTTAAATCATGTAAGACTGTATCCTCTTAAAGCTACTCAACAGCAGATGCTGTTACTCTTAAAAACAATTTAAAGAAGATTGTGAATATGTCCAATCAGATTATTAAACATATAGTTTTGCAAGGGGTTCAATATGAAATGAATTTAAGACTGGAGAATTGAGATTGTTTTTAAATAAAACATTCCATTGTAGTTTAATAGCTCTTTCCACTTCACACGTATTTTTGCTCAGAGGGAAATAGCTTTATAGTTGCATGATTTGAACATGTGTTGGAATGAAAAATGCAAAAATAAAATATAGGATAAAAGTTTTGAAAAAAGCCAGGATAGCATCAGTGTTCTTCAAGAGGTTACAGCTAAATTGCAATCTTTAATAGAGAGGAGAACATTAAAAGTAATCATAGGTACTGTTTTCAGCTGACACAGAGCACCCTGACATTGGAAATCCCTCCCACTTCAATATATGAATGCTTGCCTATTTTTTTTAAACTCTTAATTTTTATTTCCTAAGTTATATTCAATGTTTTAATGTTAGGTTTGTTTTTAAATAACTGGGTTTTTTATAAAAAAATGTAGAAGTGTATTAAAATAACTTTTTCCAAAAATGTAAAGGATAAGATTTAATTTGTGTTGACTCTAAATGTATTTTTTATTAGGTTCTGATTATTCTTTGGAATAGTGATCCTTTGGTGTGAAAAAAAAAACAACACACCAAAGGCTGACTTTTCTAATCATTTGTTTCAAAATATTATTCTTACGCTATCAATACTAAAATGCCTATGTTTGTATACATAATATAAACATTTTAGGAAATTTAAGAGAAAAGAAAGGAGTCTTTTACTTTAGCCAAAAAGGAAACAAAATAAGGTTTTAGGGTATTGTGAGGTCAGCAACATGACTGAACACATGTATTACCTGTGAAAACAAACAAAATCTGGAGTTCTGGAATTCACCACAGATCCTGCAGAATATTGTGCACTTTTAAACTCTCTTGAGATGTAAGAGGGTAAAAACAAATTTGGAAATATAGTTAGATTGATTGCATGAAGATTCAATAAAATATGATGTTTAGACTGACATTGCATACTAAAAATAAATTTAACAGAAAATAAGAATGTATCCAAAGCTGTCAGGTAGTAATTCATATTTTTCCTTTTGAAGTTTTGAAGTTCTTACAATGGGTTTTCTTTTGTTTTTGCTCCTGAGGACTAAAATAGTAATTTTGTTAACTTGATAGCAATTTGTGCTAGGCACAAATTAACCATTTAATGTAAAGGTGCTGACTTGACAGTGGTCTTCTCTGTATCTCTGTAAACAGGGTGCATAAGTACCATTGTAAGTAGAATATTAATTGAAGGCTTAAGATAGGCATTTGAAAGTAAGTGGTGGCACATGGGAAATGTTGGGAATGATTTTTTAAAATAAACTTAGCTAACAAACTACATTAAACCTTTTTTACTATGATTTTCTATATCCAGATCTAGTACTGGTGTATAAAATAATGAATTAATAGATGGCTTTGACTAAAGACATCAGTTATTTGATTTTAAATCGTTGTTATTGGCTTATATATAGAATAATGAATTTGGGTTTGGACATAAATCGTAGGAGCAGAAAAGTTTTGTACGCCTGTGTTACTCTATTTTATCTGTCTCAGATTTGTTGTGTTATTTTACTCTGACCACCCTCCCAAAGAAAGCACAATTAAATTGCTCCAATGATCAAATTTGCTGTCAGTGGAACTTTTCCTATATTATTTCTATGATCTTTTTCAATCTAGCATACAAGTCAATCAGTCAAGCTTTGCACCAAATAATAAAGCTCTTTGTATGTTAAGAAGACTGAAGTAGTTGACAACCTTATTAGGAATGCATATTTATAGTATATCTTGAGTCTAAAATATTTTACTTGAGAACCGCAGCAAAAAATAGCAATATTGCAGAGAAATGTTTATCTTTCAAAAATTATTTTCAAAGATTTATATGGGGAATAGCAAATATAGTTGCCTCCAGGCAAGATGAGTAATATATACGTGGAATAAATAGATACATAAATAAAAAACACATCACAGAGAGAATTTCTGCTTTAATGACAAGGTGACCATAGCAATGATGGCTTAATTTCTCCAAAACTATATGGGTTTAAATGCCTAATGATTGCAATGTCTGACACAATTTATCTGCTTTTTGACGTGATCCTATGAGTGAAAGTCCCAGAAGTGCCTTTCAAAAGGCAACTGAACTTTATTTTATTTTTCTTGAAGACTTTTTGCTTCTTGAATGAGAAGTGAAGCATCTTCAAAGAAAAAACAAAGGGAAGTCCATAACTGGACTTTTGAAAAGCATCTTTGGGACAACCACAACTTGGATGACTGAGAATCTCCATAGACACTAAAGGTGAAAGAGTATTTCCTACTTCCTGGGTGCTATTGCCACATATCTCTTTCAGATCAATCAGTTGCCAGTTAATGAAATCTGTTTTATTGATACACCATGACATTTAAAATGTTTTCCTCTTTCCAAGCAGGTATTCCCACTATAATTTCAGAAAAGTTAAAAACAGAAATATCACTTAGATCCGTGGTGGCGAACCTATGGCACGCGTGCCACAGGTGGCACTCAGAGCCCTCTCTGTGGGCACGTGCGCCGTCGCCCCAGTCCTAGACCTTCAGCTGGGTTTTATAAAACCTTTTTGCTTTAGGCCTCCACTGCCGTGTGCAAAAAAAAAAAAAGGTTCAATCAATCAATTTCAACTTCTTGCAGGGGAAAAAAAGATCTCGCAAAGTTGGAATTGATTGATTGAACTTTTTAGTCCCACCCAGTCTGCCATTACCACTGTAGTGACGCCCACCCAATGGGCCACACCCACCCAGTGGGCCACGCCTACCCGTTACTCGACGATACATAAGTGGGTTTTGGGTTGCAGTTTGGGCACTCGGGTCTCTAAAAGGTTCGCCATCACTGACTTAGATATTAATTAATTAGATATTAACGTTAGAAATGTCAGAGCAGCTGAAGGTGCCGCCATATATTACAAATATATTTCAAGCATTGTGCAATTCACTGTTTTCTGTGAATTCAGCCATAGTGCCCCAGAAATACAAATAGCCCAACCTGATTATTCACATGACATGTTAGATAGAACTGTGTTTCAGTACCAAGTGAAAGGGTATTTGAATAATTCAACAAATCTTATTTTGTTTTCAGATAAAAGCATTCATATGGGGGAAATTACACCTTTTATTGGTAGAAATTTGCTCTATTGAGTTGATGGTTTTTTTTTTATGGGTAACATTATCAGAGATAGCAATATGGGGAAGCACTTGCTAAGTAAAGTTTCGATATTAATATTGTCTGCCACTGATTTGATACTTTACGGAGATTTTTATCTTCACGGGTTTTAAAACTTTGAAAAAAAGCAGCAGCACACGGCGGTATTGTGCTCATTTTGAAAGCAGACGATAGCTCTGCACAATTTGCACATTGCTAAAAATTCTTCTTTTACCCCACAGGAAAAATACACACAAGAAGAGTTGCAAGTAATGAAATAGGATAATGATGAGGCTAATGTTTCAAAGTAGAAAGAAAGCACTGGTGGCTATTGTTGAGAGGGCAAACAGTTTTAGAGACAAGTGCAAGAATAGTGATTTGCTGTTTGCAAAGGCCTCACTAAGGCATGTGAAACCTTACAAAGTGCCCATTGTGTTGTTTCCTTTCAGGGTAAGCAACATTACGCAGTATGCAAAAAATAAGTAATAAGCTGAAGATACAAGATAAGGGAAAAAGGAAGTTCAGCTAAAATTAGTTTACACCACTTGCTGGATCTCCGTACTCTTCTGTGTAACCATTTTTCTACTATATCAGCACATTGCTTCATACATTACTTTTTTTTTCTTTAAACTTCTCTTTTTCAGAATTTCAAGAGGTTTGCTCAAATGCAACTTTCTTGTCTTCTCTCCCCCAGTTCATTATTTCTTCATGTATTTGTTTTGCAGTGTGATTCTTGTTTGCTTTCTCCCTCTGACCCACCTCAAACATTTCACCCTCTTTTGTTTTTAATCTACATTCATTACACATCCATTCTAGTAGGAAAATTGAAAACTGAGAGGAAACAGACTTATATACGAACAAATACATAATTAGAAAAATTATGAAAGTGATAGATTGCATTTATATAATTTTATTGATTATTCTATCTATGCCCTTTTTATTATGTCCTCATAGTCTCTCCAGTGAGTATAATGGACAATGCTATGGAATCAGTGCAAGGTAGTAATGGCCTACCCAATCAAAGCATATACCCTATCTATCCAACATTCTTTATTTGTAATATCTGCAGTTTAAAAGCTTTGCACATTGATAGGGAGAGAGGCCAAAAATGGAAGCCTGGAATCAAAAAATTGAGAAGGATGGAAAGACTGTAAAGAAATGTGTTCAGAATTGACAAATGGCACAGGTGTATAAATGCTAAGATGTAAGATGTCGTACGAATTCTAAATTTAGATGTAGTATGAAATTTATCATTGGGCTTGCATCCTTCCTTGTCTTATTTTACACATTCCTTGATACAATAGTAATTTCCCTTCAACAAATCTGGCATTCAGTGGTGGTGGTTGTGTTCCAACTTTCCTCACATCTTGGACAGACTGCTCCTTTTTTTTTAACTCTTCATAAATCCTCTGTGTTGTACCTGAGGATTGCTTCAAACATCTTTGCATATTCTGTTTTTATTCCCCCACCCCCACCCCCAGGATGGCTACTTTTATTCCATGTAGGGCTAGATTTACCCTCTGCTTTAACTAGGATACCTTGGTTTTCTTTTTCATTTCTTTGCTTGGAGCCTGAATGTTCTGTTTCTCTTTCCACTGAAAATGTAGTTGAGCAGGCATTGTTTCTGTTTGGCTTTTGGCAAATAGCATTTCCTTGATAAGTGAGGCGTACATAGCAAGAGATTGTGGCTCCAGTATCTCTCCAAACCGCTGCTGTGTGTCTTGATTAGTTCATAGTTATCCATTGTTGTTCAAATCATTTCGTAGGCCACTGATAACAGGAAAGCAATTAACTGTGATTTGAAAAACCGCATACACTGACTTCCCTCTCCTTTTAGACATGCCGTTTTTGCCCCTTGAAGCAGCACCTGTTTCAAACTTCCTCCCCTTAGTAGTTCATTGAATTTACATACTCTGTCCCCGCCTTCTACCCTGGTGTACCTACTTGAGAGGTACTACCACCTGTCATTCTCATAATCTGAGTCTGAGAACTGTAGGATTCCTATGTATGTTGCCTTTCCAGGGAATAAAACGCAAAACTGGAAGGGGAAATGAAATCATTTTTATAATGCATGCTCCTAAGGTTTGTAGCATAAAGATGTATGCCTATAGAGTGTAGCCTTCCTTAAGAAGATAAATTGGTTTTGCAAAAAAATAAAACCAAACATAACTAAAACCAAAAATAACTAAAAGATGCAATTTGTGCAAAAGTGCATCAGCTTTCTCAGTAAACCGTAAAATTATGCTGATCTGCTATAATGACTGATTTCAGAGAAATGGCTTTCAAGTAATATATCAGCTCCCAAGAAATTAATGAAGACAAAAATCAATTGGAGACTCAGGCTAAAATTATACAGAATGTTGTACAGAGAAGTAAAAATTAGATAGGGCAAGACTTCTAGTATATCCAAAGACTAACTACATTAACATTTAGCACCGCATCTGATTAATTTAGTTGTATGTACTTAGAAATAATACTTAGGTTTTTGAAAGCACAAAATATTTTTCTCTTAAGGAAAGCCTTGCATCTGATCTCTGACTAGATTGAGTTCAGCTTTACTTTAATGTGACAGCAACAGAATATTATCTGGATCTTTTGAAAGAAGACAAGCATTAAATAGTTCTGTAAAATGTCTACCTCAGTATTTCAAGACTGATTAGTGAATGCTAACTGAAAGAATTAATACTGCATTTGGTAATTTGTTTAAATAGTTACACAGTTGGGGAGTAATCTTGACAGTATGATTAATGTAAAAGCATGTTCTAATTTCCATTTTCTCCTTAGTATGTTTTGTGTTGCTTGCTGATTTATCTTTGTTTTGGTAGGAGGTTGAGTAAACAGACTAAAACACTTTGTGTCTTTGTGTTAGGCAGTTTGTTGTTTTTATGCCCCATAGATGATGTTCAACATCAGAGTCATTTTAGGACACTGTGCCAGGGGTAAGCAACCTTGGCTCTTTCATGACTCGTGGACTTCAACTCCCAGAATTCCTGAGCCAGCATGGTTCAGCTCGGAAACCTCTCCCTTTCCCCTCAGCATGGGCTGGCTCAGGAATTCTGGGAGTTGAAGTCCACGAGGCATAAAAGAGCCAAGGTTGCCTACCCCTGCACTATGCTATTATAGTATTGGTTTATAG